GAGAGCGGGGGTGGGAGGGAGGAGGGAGGGGGAGCCGGCCGCGGGCGCCCTCTAGCAGGCCGCGCCGCCCCGTGTCCGGAGGAAGCCGCCCAGGCTAGCCCAGCCCGGCCCGGCAGCGGGGCGCCCAGCGATCTGAACCCCAAGGTCTGGGTCGAAGTCTGTGCTTTCAAGTCCTAGAAAGCCCGGAATGACAGTTTCAATGACAGACAGAGAGATAGAGACAGACATAGACACACAGAGACATAGACAGAGATCCTGAGCCTGTGGGAAGTTGTCCGGAGGAAGCCGCCCAGGCTAGCCCAGCCCGGCCCGGCAGCGGGGCGCCCAGCGATCTGAACCCCAAGGTCTGGGTCGAAGTCTGTGCTTTCAAGTCCTAGAAAGCCCGGAATGACAGTTTCAATGACAGACAGAGAGATAGAGACAGACATAGACACACAGAGACATAGACAGAGATCCTGAGCCTGTGGGAAGTCAGTGGTCAGCAAGTCGGTTAATCGAAGAAGGAAGAAGAGAGACAGACAGAGACACAGAGAGAGAGCCAGTGGGAATTCAGTGGTCGGCACCAAGAAACCAGCCAGTTAAAGAAGGAACATTAACCAGGCACTGGTACGACAGTGGCCTCTGGTGTCCCCTGGGCCTCTAGCTGCACTTGGGTTCAAAGGCTGTACATTGGAAGGAAAACCAGTAGCCTGCTGGCTCGCCTAAATTTCTGTTTTAAAACAAAACACCGCAAAAAAAAAACAAAAAACTGTTCCTTGTTGGGTGTGGTAGCTCATGCCTATAATCTCAGGACTTGAGAGGCTGAGTGGGGAGGATTGCCATGAGTTGGAGGCCAAGAGTGAGTTCCAACGTGAGTTCCAGGCTAGTCTGGATTGCAGTGTGAGACCGTATCTATACCTAAATAAAGCCTTGTGAATAGGAGAGCAGTTTGCTTTTTTTTCTTGCTTTTTACATACGACCTTTGTGTTCCAGGCTGGTCTGGAACCAGCTACCTAGCTCAGGCTGGCCACGGACACACAGGGTTCCTCCTGCCTCCGCCTTCCCAATGTTGGCATGAGCCACACTGGCCGTTATAGTTTTCACATGTCTCTAAGGGACTGTCATATTTGAAGGAGTATCACTAAGCCCAGCAATTTAGAGGCTAAGACAGGAGAATTAGGTGTCCTGGGCCAGCCTGGGCTACGTAACCATCTCTTGTTCTAAAAATCAAACCAAAAACTGTTCATCACTACCTGGCTTCTGACAACTCTTCCTCTCTTCTCTTCCCTCCTCTTTGATCCAGAGATGAATAAAAGTACTATTGGGCAGATCTCTGAGTCCAATGCCAGCCTGGTCTACATAGTGAGTTCAAGGCTAGCTGGGGCTACAGGGAGACCTTCTTTCAAGAAAGACAAAAAAGAAAAAAGAAAAGAAAGAAAAAAAGAAAAAGAAAGAATATTTTCTAATTCCGTTCCCTTTGTTGATGAGAAATAAAACAGTGCCTGTATGAAATATTTATGAAATATTAATATTTATCCTTTCTGTGTATTTTTAGTCTTTTATATCTATATTATCATGTATCTATTTCAGAAATATATGTTGCTGTACAGGCATGAGAAGGCACAGGCCTGGCTAGGGATGTAGTTCACTTGCATTTTTCAAGGCCCTGCATTTTCAAGGGTAGGCAACAGCCATGTCAGGAACTGTCCATATAAAATCAGCTGATGACTAGCAACAGGAAAGTTAGA